CCGAAGGCAAACTCACCACCACGGTCAGAGTGAAAACTTAGAATGGGTAGGGAGCACTGGGTGTGGATGACGCGGAGCTATGGGAGGAGGGCGTCAAGCACATTGGCTTTCCGCTAAATTTGGAACTCCGTGGTGTAACGGATTCGCCAACAACAACCACAAAGTAGCGCTCCCTGCACGGACCAACGACCGCGGCGGGACCCCAAACATCAATGTGCAGTGTCTGTAGCGGTGCAGTAGTGGGAGGATACAAGGAGGAGTGAGGGGCGGAGCACTGTAGTGGCAACAGCAGCTGAAGTGGCGGCGGTGGCCGTAGCAGCGGTGGTGGCTGTAGCGACAGCAGCGGCTGGAGTGGTAGAAGCGGCTGGAGCGGTGGCGGCTGGAGTGGTAGACGCGGCTGGAGCGGCGGCGGCGGCTATAGCAGGGGCGGCTGCTGGAGGCGACGGCAGCAGCTGTAGCAATGGCGGCTATGGTTGGAGCGACATCGGCTGCAGCGACGGCAGCGGCAGTGCCAGCGTGCCAAAAGCCGCCCAAAACTTTCCGCGAAATGGTGGATCTGTCGTCGTCTCACGCCATGACTTCTGAAGAATGGGCGACAGCACTCGAAGAAGTCTGTCTCGCTCACGAGTTGTATCTGCAGGAGTTGGCGCATTTGCGATCTGAAACGGCCCAAGCTGAATCTCAGATATCTGCACTTAAGAGTGGGATGCCCAAGACATGACATGACACGATCCCACCAACGACAAACCAAGAACAACAGAAGCAAGTAATCTGGCAGAGTTCCGAAATATCTGGCGGCAATCAGCGACCACATGCGGCTTTGCCCGAGGGTTCGACGAACAATCCACCACGAGTCATTGGACAAACGGAAGTTGGCGAATGGGCGAACATCAACTTGTCGCCCCTACTCACCACTTCCACCGACCTGCAAACTGCAAATATCAACATGGCGCCAGGAATTCTCAAGACACTGAGGTCGCCCATATTCGACCCAAGCCAGCGTGGCAGCTTGTCCGTCAGTGGATGGATTTTCCATCTTAATGTCTTGTACGACTGCAGCCTTGTCGCCAACAATGAGCAAAAAACCCGATACGCCGTTTCGATCCTACGTGGATCAGCAATGGATTGGTGGTAGCAGATAATTCAGTTGTAGGAGCCGGATACGATGCCACACGTGATCGGGCGATTTCGCACAACCAATCACTGGGCAAGAAGTTATTGCGAGGTGGACGAGTGCAGCATGTGGCAATCGTGGTGCACGGGAATTCGTCACCGCTTCGAACACGTCAATGCAAACGGTCAAGCATGCAACCGCCTTCGCTCGTGGCGCCAACTCATATTGGTTCAGGACTACACTAGCAGCTTCAAGAATCTATGCGATTAGGCCGGCTACATTCACCCTGAAGGAAAATTCGACAGATACATCGGGGGACTTCGACAAGATCTGCGCCAAGAATTACAAGTGCAAGAAATCACCGATTTAATGGAGGCACAAAGGATTGCCGAGCTGTTGGGTTCGTTCTACAAACCAAGGGCGAGTTCCTATGACGGAAGTCGCACTCGGGGACCAATCGAGCGTGCCACTGTACACGCTGTTACAACATAAAACTCAGCATTTACAGCCTTCAAAGGTCGCTGTTTCGGGTGTAACATGCAAGGACACCGCAAGTCAGAATGCCTAGAAGAGTCGAAGAAGCGGAATCAGGGGCAAGGGAGTTCCAGCCAGGCCTGACGTTTTAGGAAAAGGCACTCACACCCCCCCCCCCCCCCACCCCCCCCCCCAAAAGAAAAGTCTAAAAGGCATTCAGCCAAATTTTTGGTAGTATGAAACGGCAGAGTCCAGAAGTCAGCGAGTCTGATTTTCTCAGGGTCCAACGAGTACAACCGGAGTTGCTACCACATATGAGGAATCGGGGTTAGCCCTTTCCCCCCCCCCCCCCTCCTCCCCTCCCCCCCGGCCAGTTTTAACACACACACACACACACACGGGAACTTGAAAATTTTGCATGTTTCATGCCGAGTACCGTTGGAGGCGAGTCTGAAAAGCGAGGGGCTTTGTTGTGTCCTGCGAAGTGAAAATAAATGTGATTGACGTGTACACAGTACTTGTATGGGCAAACACATTTTACGAGTTATCGCCCCCAAAAAATTTGGGCCAGCTATAGTACATGCTTTGATTGGATGACACTTTCGTTATTCTCGCCTAGCCAAGTGGGATTGTCACCATCCTTGAAATCTCGCCTTGCTGACGTTGGCTAATCTCAGAGAAATTTGGCAACATACAAGCTCGACAGAGATTGCGGTCTGAATTTGGACACCATCCAAAGTTTACCATGCGATTCGGGCCGCCGTGACGTGTCTACACGTGCCCGGACACGTGTTCCAAACTCTGGACAATTCGGAGCAACCGGCCATGACCTTAGCGAACAACACCCACGACCCTGGGCGACATTGCGAACGTCACAATTTGTGGTCTACATGATGGTCTGGTTCTTTTTGTTCACTCACTTGCCCCCGAAAGTGTTGCCTCAACAAAATTGATGTCATTTCGATATGCTTTTGTGTGATTATCTTCCAATATCACCAATTTCAATATTTAGGTCAGGTCCTGGGTGCTGGTAATTGTTTTCGTGCATGAGGTCGCTCAGAGTTGTTCGCGCGTTAAGATTGGACACGAAAGTTTTAAATTCGCTTGTCGTCAGATTGTGTTCGCTGCGACTGTCACCTGTCATTTTGGTTCGCGGTGTCCCAGGTGGGGTACTGCCCCAATCGGACACCATCCGGAGCAAAAACGGAGTCGCCTGGGGTGCTACTTCCTCGCGTCTGAGGGCTTACCGGATCTCCCGCAGAGTGGGGCTTACGGGACCTACTACACGGAGTGAGTTTTGTTATCCAATTCTCAAGTCGTACGTCAATCCATTGCATGTTGCCGCACGCATCGATCGTCGCCATGATTTCCTCGCTTGTGCCTTCCCGTTCCCCATCTTTCTTACCAGTAGCCTATCCATCTCCATCTCCCCCTACCAGTTACGGCTTCAAGCAAGGGACCAAGGTGATTTCTGAGTACCTGAAGGATGAACATCCCACCACATCCTCAGCTCCCCTTTCATCGGCATCGCCATCGATGAAAGCACAGACCGGGTACACGGGAAGCATCTCATCCTTTTCGCTACGTTCTTCAGTGGCAACAGATCATCGACATGCTAATCCGCGCTTTCACCGAGCTTGTCAGTCGCTCCAACAATCAGCATCTTAGATTCAAGAACTTCCAGCTGGTGTTCTGCAACACCAATCTGGAGATGCAAGGGATCCACGCTGTACGTTGGATGTCGCGTGGAGAGGAGGTTATCCGCTTTGTCGAAGAGTTGCTGGCTGCAATCGTCTTGCTGCGTGATCACCCCGGCGGTCTTTTCGAGGTTGTGACGTCATTCAAGGTGCAGTTCATGCTGCACTACCTCGTCGACATACTAGAGGAGCTGAGTCACCTTAACACCCGCTTCCAGCAGCGTCAGGTATGACACTCGTCTCATTGTTGAACGTCGCTCGTACCATGTGCTTGTATTTTGAGGCATTAGCATGCAGCACGTTTATTTCCCAAGTCGCTCATGGTGCCCTAATTGGTTTTCACCTTATCCCTGTGTTTCCATTACAGGTGGATCTCACTGTCATGGCCTAGAGTGGTGGACAACACGTGCAACCGCATCACCGACCGCTACGTCAAGTGCGGCGGTGGTCTCTTCTTCTGGAACGGCAGTGAGAAGCTCGGGAAGTTCCTGGAGCGTCACGGAAGCCCCGACCAGCATCGCGTCCGCGTTCAAGGTATTGACTCCAAGGGGAACGCTCAGGCGTTCGAGTATGTGCTGCATGAGCGGATGGTGGAGGGGCACAACACCAAGAGCGACCTAGACTCCTGCGCACAAAGTCTGCCGGAAGCATGCGATCGATGTCGTCACCAACGTCCGCGCCCGCCTGAAGGACCTGGCTAACGTGGAAGGATGCAAGCTCTTTAAAGCCAAGACCTATCCACGGGACGACGAGCTGCGCCTAGCGAGATGCAAGCAGTGGCTGAAGCAGTCCCACAACCTCTTTGATGGAAAGCTCCCAAGTGAAATGGGAGTGTGGCTTCAATGTTGTTCTGCACGTTGTTGCCTATGCTTGCGTGCCCGTTCTTAGGCTGCAGTCCGCACATTCCACTTGCAGCAACTTTCGTTGCACATCTTCCCTCCTAAGGCCCACTATTTTCTATCCTCCGTGTCCCAACCCACCATCCTGCAGGCTTCGACTACAACAAGGCCCTCAAGGAGCTGTGGGTGTTTACTGCGGCCATGGTTTCGCAGTACAAAGATGACGAGTTTCAGCAGGGGCTCACCTTGGCCCTGGACAACAATGAGTGGCAACAGGGCTATCCAACATCCTCAGGCTATGGCAGGCACTGGCAGTGCTCCCCCTCAGCACAGTGGAGTGCGAACGTGGTTTCTCGAAGTAAAATCTGATCAAGACATGGACCCGTGGGTGCCTTGGCGATGACAGCCTAAGCGGCTTGATGCGGTGCTCGCTCAGATTGACTGGTTGATGTGGTAGCTGTTTTCCGAGGTGAGAAGTGGCGGCGGTCTCTGTGCGACTTGAGTTCTGCCAGCCCAACTCCAGCTGCGCCTTCTGCAGATGCAGGCACCACAAGGACTGACCCAATTCCACTAGAGGATCCTAGTATGCTGTAGGTAGAGTAGAGTAGAGCGGTTGTGATTTTCCAGGGATGTTAAGAAAGTTAGACTTCCACATACTAATTATTGACATGTAACGTAGCTAGGATTGTTTGTAGTGCATTTAAGAACGCGCAACAGGGTCCTGTTTTTTTCTACCGAGACCCCAGAGTGCAAAATTTTCTACCCTGCTGAATCAGACTTGTGGAAAATTGTACTCTGACAGGCAGGGTAAAATTTTTGAGGCACTCTGATTCCTAAGAGTGACCTAAAACCAATTTTGGGCCCTGCTCCGTGGTGGTGGATCTTGGAAGCCGTGTAAGTACAAGCAGATTAACATCCATAATAGCTGGAAAAAGTATTCCCCATTCCACTCACGGACATCTAAGCCATCCACTGTTCAGCGCCATCATAGTGCCTCGCTCTAGACCAGCGAAGCGCCTCTCGAAAGGGCGGGGAACGCAATGCAAACGGTAACCAGGAGGGGGTCTGACTGAATCGGATGGCCATGAACGCCTCTCGTTGTCTGCTTGCTTGCCGTCTGCCTATCAAGCAACCTCTAAGCTCAAAGAAGCTTGCCGTGCAGCCAATGCTCTCTTTGAGAAGAAAAAGCGAGGCCGGGGTCGGTTCTTAACGCACCTCAGAAACCGCGGCAGTGCGAAGGCCAGCAACAGCAGCATCGCCAGTGGAAGCAGCAGCACAAGCAGCAGCGCCAACAGAAATGCAGGACCTGCTGGGGCACAGAGTGGGTGTGAAGAGAGGGATTGGTGCCGGCAGGGCAGGTAAGCACGATATCTGTAGACGGGAACTTCGGAGAAGCAAGCAGTAAAGTGGAACACAACAGAATGCAGCGAGGAAGAGCTAATGGCCCTGAGGTGAAGAGAAACAGTTCAGCAGTTAGCAAGAGCATTGGTCTGCTCTCACGTTACCTCGTGGGACACAAGTGCCAGCAGCAGTCCCTTGCGTGTAGCCCTCATCACACGTGCACTGTGCCCCCCATGCAGGCGTGTCGTCATGGTGGCCTGGCTCAACGGAGCACACGCCATGGCCGCTGCAGGGCGGGGTGAGCGGCCGGGCCCCACAGAACAACCGGCAGTCGTGGCTACTCCTCTGCCACCCGTCACACGAGAAAGTAGACGCGGCAAGGCAGTTTCCGTGGATGTAGGACACAGTAGGGGGGTAGAGGCAGTCATTGGGGCAGGCGGAGGTGCGATTTGGGGAGAGGCATTCAGGAAACGGCGCTGCTCTGCCTGTGAGGTAGTTGTATCTGGCGTGAAGCCTGCTGAGGCGGCTCAAGTGGTGGAAGGATGGAAGGGATCCCGCCAGCTGGTTGTGGTCAAGGGAGCTGTGAGCACAAGGAAAAGGAGGTAGAGGAGGAGGTGGGCGGGAAAGGGTTGGTGGGGAAGGGGAATGGCGGCAAGAAGGGGTGAAGAGAGTGAGGAGGTAAGAGAATTTGGGAGGGAAGGAAGTGGAAAGGAAGAGAAAGGGGAGAGAAGGGCAGTACGTCAGCTTTGCATACATTCCTAGCTTTGTTATTTTGTTGAAGTCAGTGCTTATGGTAGACAGAGAGGAGCGGAGGGAAGGGGGGCTCAGCAGGACGAGGCTTATCACTTTTGAACTTACGAAGTTCTAGGCACGGATGGACATGGAGAGTAATTGGTGGCAAGGTTGAGCAGAGCATGGGAGGGAATGATTGGAGCCCACTCATTCGACAAGTAAAGGGGACGAGGTGGGTGGTTACAGTAGCGGAAAATGAACAGATGCGATCTGTAAGGGTGGCATTAATTATAGAGGACTTACAAAGAGCATCGCTATATTACAGTAATAAGGGTAATAGTTACAGTTCTTGGAGATTAGTGAGTGTGGTGAGTGCAACAGGAATTGACCCTGCAAGGAAGTTGTAGGAGAGATGTCTGGAGAGGGGCGGATGGATGCATATGGAAGGGAAAAGAGACGAGAGCAGGGAAAGTTCCTGGGAAGCAGAAAGGGGCATCAGTGTGACAGCTATTTGGTGAGAGGTGCGAGCTTTGAGTAGCCGACACGCACCCACAACAGCATCAGATATCGCTGTCAAAGAAAAGTCTCCGTTCATCTCCTATTCCCTGCTCTCTTCTCCCTTCTCTCCATCTACCCTCCTCCCTTATCCCCCGCTTATCCACTCGAAGAGCACACAGGGTGTACAGTTCCCTGCCCCTATGCTTGGCACCGAGTGGCAGGTGGAAAGTGGGCAGGGAGAGAGGTAGGACGGTGGAGGGAGAAGAGAGAGAGGTGGGAGGGTGGAGGGAGAAGGAAGAGAGGGGGCAGGGTGGAGGGAGAAGGGAGAGAGGTGGGAGGGCGGAGGGAGAAGGGAGAGAGGTGGGGGGGTGAAGGGAGAAGGGAGAGAGGTGGGAGGGTGGAGGGAGAAGGGAGAGAGGGGGCAGGGTGGAGGGAGAAGGGAGAGAGGTGGGAGGGTGGAGGGAGAATGGGCGCACACTTCAGTGAGGCGGGTGAGGTTGGCTATGGAGGCAGGGATGGTGCCAGTCAGCCTGTTGAACTTCAGGTTCCTGCAGTGAAATTGCATGGCATGGGATGGGATGGGATGGGATGGGATGGGACGGCATGTGGTCGTGTCAGAGCATATTTCCATTCTGGTTGCCTTGCACGTTTCACATGGATTTGATCGTTATCCAGTCTATCCTCCTACCAGCATAGTTGCTGCTGTGATTACTGTAGGGGCTTACAAGCTAGGTCATCTGATTGATCAAGTCCAGGTCACTGGAAGCTGAAAATGCCCCTTCCCAGCGTTCCTCACTCTTCTTCCTTACAGATATTCCAGGTTGGTAAGGGCTCCCATTGACTCGGGGATTGGCCCTGAGAGCGTTTGGTAGGCGAGGATCCTGCAATGACGTGTGGCACAGAGCAGTAAAGTGCGGTGAAGTGTGGTGCAGTGTGGTGCATTGTGGTTCAGTGCGATGTCGTGTTGCCCGGTGCAAGATGGAAGGGAGGGCAGCAGCGGGAGGATGAAGCAGGGAAGGGGTTGGGTGGGAGGAAGGGACGAGCAATGAGATATAAGAGAGGAAGGCAGATAAGGGGAGGAACAGATTGAGCGAGGAAAGAGGCAGCAGCGGGGGAGGCAGCAGTGGGAGAGGCAGCAGTGGGAGAGGCCTTAAGGCACCTCATGTTTGAGAGAGTGATGCTGCATGCTGAGGCAGGCAGAGGCGTGTTTTGAGCCGACTCAAAACCCACCTGTTCCATGTTTTAATCCAGCGCGTCACCATCGTCACGCTGTTGATGGGTTTGTGGTGACAGCCGGACCATTAGTTAGCCCACCGGAATGCCTCCACTCACTCACCCAATCAGTCAGTCACTCACACACTTAATTGCTCACTATTTCAATCACAAATTTGCCCACTCTGATCATTGCAGGGAGCACCTCGCTGCCCATTTTTGAGGCGCCTCGAAAATAGACTCCTAATCACTCAGTCACTCACGCGCTTAATCGCCCACTATCTCAATCACAATTTTGCCCACTCGGATCGATTATTCCAGGGAGTACCTCGTTGCCCCATGGCCACTCACAACTGTCGTGGCAGCTTGAGGTTGCTGACAGTCTCTATTGGTGCAACCACATGGATTGCACTCGACTTGTTGTCCTTTTTTGTGAGTGTAATGTATAGCATGGAAGGAACAACGTGTGAGCCTATGGAAATTTTATATGGTGCTTGTGATTGTGCTTGAATGGTGCATCACAATGTCGTTTGTGAGTGATCGAAATACTAGCGAGTTTCCGCTAGTCGGTGTCAAGTCGTCGTTTGTGCGTCGTTTAAGGCTCTAGTGGCTCCTAAACCTCGTGTCAATCAAACCGTCATAGCGCCGTCATTTCTAAACGAAATCGTTCAACTCAAAGGCGACATCAAGACGCCCCAAATCCAATACGTAAAACATCGTTTCATACCCGTACCGATTTGTGGTAAATGTTCCACGTCCGATCAAAATTCTACAATGCTCTGTCTTTTGTTTTAGGCGGTTTTTGTTGAGGACTCTGGAGTACGGTAGGGATGGGGGAGGGCAGAGAGGATGCAAGGGACAGATGGGCTGGCAGGGGCTATAAATGGAGTGGAGACGCCGTCAGTATGGAGCCGTCGTCAGTATGGAGCCGTCGTCAGTATGGATACCTACCCTGTTTTAAACTTGGAGCTAGGTGACGTAGAGGACACATCACTGTTTGGTAGAAGAAGCTAGTGGTAGATCAATTGCAAGTCTAGTAAGAATCAGGACGCTGATGAAGGCTTGACCGCCGAAACGCGTGCGTCCGAAGGCTTGTAAGTGGCTATTGTTAGTGAATTTTGCCTTTCATACATTGTCATAATTTTGCCTAGTTCTTAGACTAGTTCATAGACGTACTTTCGAAATAGTCGGGAGAACCGAGTTTGCAGCTGCCCTACCCAACTTTTTAGAGGAGAGCTTGCCCATCTGCCTCAACCCGACGCACACTCACAGGTATGTGAGGAGGTGCAGATTGCCCAGCTGTTGGGGAATGGACCCGTTGAGATCGTTGATGCTTGCTGAGCTGTGGCATGATTGGGACGATTGCAGGAGGGGAGATGGCAGGGAAAGGAGAAGAGGGGGAAGGGGAGAAGAAGAGGAAGGAGGGCAGGAGTTGGGGTGCAGGGAGGAGGAGAGGAGTGTCAGAAGCAGTGGAGGGGGATGAAAGGAGAAGAGCTTGCAGACTGTTTCTGGTGTGGGCTGTTGATGGTGTGAGGTGGATTGGATTTGATGCACCCGAGCAGGGTGCACTGGATGTGATGAACTCGAGCGGGGTAGATAGGATTTTATGCACCTGGGCGGGGTAGGTTGGGTTTGTGTGGTAGGATTGCAGATGCAGGTAGATGGTTGGGAGGGAAAGGTGGGAGGTAGAGTGAGAGCAGGTAGGTGTGGAGGCAGGTGAGGGAGTGCTGAGGGGTGCATGAGAGGACTGACAGGTGGACGAGAGACGAGAGGTTGCCTAGGGAAGCGGGGAGGGAGCCAGAGAATTTGTTGTCGTCCAAGGTGCTGCAGGCAGCACACCCAAGTATGGGAAAGAGGCAGAAGATTCATGGATGGACGGATGGACGGAAACAGGGGTGGGAGGGAGGTAGTAGACGGTGGGGAGGGGAAATTGGGCAGATGGGCTGCAAGGGGCTATGTACAAGGAGGAGCCATCATCAGTCCCAGTAGCTTCATAGGTTTGGTGCTCTTATCCTCTTACCCTCTTACCCTCTCAGCCTGCCCATCTGCCTTACCCCGATGCACACTCACAGGTATGTGAGGCGGTGCAGATTGCCCAGCTCTCGGGGAATGGAACCGTTGAGGCCGTTGCGGTTTGCTGAGCTGTGGCATGATTGGGACGATGGCAAGCGGGGAGGGGAGAGGGCAGGAGGGGAGAGGGCAGGGAGCGGAGGGGAGAAGGGGGAAGAGGGCAGGAGTTGGGTTGGGTAGCAGGGAGGAGGAGACGAGTGTCTCAAGGAGTGGAGGGGGGTGAAAGGAGAGGAGCTAGCATGCGGCTACTGGTGTGGGCTTGCCGGTGTGGGCTATGGCTCGTGTGGGCTATTGCTCGTGTGGGGTGGATTGGATTTGATGCACCCAAGCAGGGTGGATTGGATTCATGCAGTGGGAATGCAGATGCTGGTAGATGGTGGGGAGGGAAGGCTGGGTGCCAGAGTGAGAGCGGCTAGGTGTTGAGGCAGATGAGGGAGTGCTGAGAGGTGCATGATATGACAGAGATGAGAGGACCGAGGGTCCATAATAGGACAGAGGGGGACTGACAGGTGCACGAGAGAGGAGAGGCCGCCCAAGAAAGCAGGGAGGGAACCAGAAAATTTGTTGTGGTTCAAATCACTGCAGGCAGCACACAGAAGCATGAGACAGCAGCAGCAGAAACTTGGATGGATGGACAGAAACAGGGGTGAGATGCGGTAGGGAGGGGCGAGTGAGCAGATGGGCTGCCAGGGGGCAAATGGGCTGCCAAGGGGCAAATGGTCTGCCAGGAGTTACGAATGGAGTGAAGCCATTGGAGCATCCTCAGTACGAGTAACTTCCAGGTGCTCTATTACCCTCTGACCCTCTAACCTCTTACCCTCTGACCCTCTTATTCTCTTATTCTCTTACCCTCTTACCCTCTTTCCCTCTCATCCTCTCAGCCTGCCCATCTGCCTCACCCCGATGCACACTCACAGGTATGTGAGGCGGTGCAGGTTGCTCAGCACTTGGGGAATGGAACCGTTGAGACGATTGTGGCTTGCTGAGCTGTGTCATGATTGGGACGATGGCAGGCGCGGAGAGGAGGTGGCAGGAGGGGAGAAGAGGGGAAGGGGAGAAAAGGAGGAGGGCAGGAGTTTGGGCGCAGGGAGAAGGAGAGGAGTGTCAGAAGCAGTGGAGGGGGATGAAGGGAGAAGAGCTTGCAGATTGTTGCTGGTGTGGGCTGTTGCCGGTGTGGGGTGGATTGGATTTGTTGCATCTGAGCAGGGGGAACTGGACTTGTGCAGTAGGATTGCAGAAGCGAGCAAGTCGATGGTGGGGAGGGAAGCCTGGGCGACAGAGTGACAGCGGTGTTGAGGCAGGTGAGGCAGAGGTGAGAGGAGCATGATAGGACCGAGGGTGCGTGAGAAGACTGACAGGTGCATGAGAGAGGAGAGTCTGCTCAAAGAGGCGGGGAGGGTGCCCAAAAAGATGTTGCGACCCAAACCACTGCAGGCCACACACAAAAACATCACCAACATGAATGGATGGATGGATGGACGGATGGATGGATGGATGGATGGATGGATGGATGGATGGATGGATGGATGGATGGATGGATGGATGGATGGATGGATGGATGGATGGATGGATGGATGGATGGATGGATGGATGGATGGATGGATGGATGGATGGATGGATGGATGGATGGATGGATGGATGGATGGATGGATGGATGGATGGATGGATGGATGGATGGATGGATGGATGGATGGATGGATGGATGGATGGATGGATGGATGGATGGATGGATGGATGGATGGGTGGATGGGTGGATGGGTGGATGGATGGGTGGATGGGTGGATGGGTGGGTGGATGGATGGATGGGCGGATGGATGGATGGGTGGATGGATGGATGGATAGATGGATGGGTGGATGGATGGATGGATGGATGGGATGGATGGATGGATGGATGGATGGATGGATGGATGGATGGATGGATGGATGGATGGATGGATGGATGGATGGATGGATGGATGGATGGATGGATGGATGGATGGATGGATGGATGGATGGATGGATGGATGGATGGATGGATGGATGGATGGATGGATGGATGGATGGATGGATGGATGGATGGATGGATGGATGGATGGATGGGTGGATGGATGGGTGGATGGGTGGATGGATGGGTGGATGGGTGGATGGGTGGGTGGATGGATGGATTGGCGGATGGGTGGGTGGGTGAGAAAGAAGTGAGAGGTGCGTGAGAGGACTGACTGACAGGTGTGTGAGAGTCGTGAGGTTTCCCAGGGAAGCGGGGAGGGCTTGGAGTTGATTGTAATAGAGATCACTGCAGGGAACACACACAAACATGGGCGAGGGGCAATGAATACATGGACGGATGGATGGAGTGATAGCGTGAGGGACAGAATATTCAAGGATAAGTGGATGGAAAAGGGGGTGGAAGGCACAGGAGAGGACTCAATGGCGTGTTTGCTGGTTTTGTGGAACAAGTGATGGATGGATGGATGGATGGACAGACGGATGGATGCATGAACTGACAGGGTCTGGAGGCCTGTTGCAAGGCCTACTGCATCAGGGATGTTGCCTGAGAGTACGCAATGACTGAGATTACTACACACATGCATCGTGAGCACACAGTCATCATGAGCACACATGCATCATGAGCACACATGCATCATGAGCACACATGCATCATGAGCACACATGCATCATGAGCACACATGCATCATGAGCACACATGCATCATGAGCACACATGCATCATGAGCGCACATGCATCATGAGCAAACGCCCACCACACATGCATCCGTATCCATTCAACCCCGCCCACGTCCCCATGCGTCTCATCCATGCAGGCAGCATGCGGCATCACAAGGGAGCAACAATGGGGGAAAGATGAAGTGGCAGGTTCGGCATCTAAGAATGCTGATGACAACGTGAGACACACCCAAAACGACCTAGACTAAACCAGACAAGACAAGGGAAGAACGGTTTTGGCAAGGCAAGATACGGCCATATAAGCCAGGACCCTTCACTCCAAAAGCATCCAAGTCCTGACAACCACAAAGGCAGCAAGCTGTTGGTTCTCGATATGAAGTCCAGTCAAGGCAGCATGGGGGAGGGAAGGGGGGCGGTGGGGATGGAAACGAGGGTGGGGAGTGTGGGGAGGGCGATGGTAGCATGGGTGGGAGAGGCATGGGCGGGAGTCTCACAGGTGCTTGAGATTCGGCATGGCGAAGAGAGCAGAGGGCAGGGAGTCCATGAGGGTGCTGTCCGTGATGGACCTGTGGGAAGGGAGTAGAAAGAAACGGAAGTGCTGAAGGCAGTAGTAGCCTTACCAGGAAGCAGAGGTAGGGTAGATGGGGTAAGGCTGCTGCATGGAAGCAGGGAATTCTGCAAACCGCTTTCTCGACCATATTCTAACTGGACATGGTTATATCGCATCGCAATTTAACCATGTCTAGTTCTAACTCACCAATTGAACCGCCTACCGCCATCCCATATCTTGCTATCCCATGCCTTCCATGCCATGGCGCTTACAGCCTTGTGAGATGCGAGAAGCCCGTGATGCTCTCTGGCAAGGAGATTGCACTGTCGTCATAGACTACGTCGCTGGGGGCGGAACAAGGGAAGAAGAGGGGGAATAATGGAGGGAGGAAAGGAGGGAGGAACGGAGGGAGGAACGGAGAGAGGAACGGAGGGAGGAACGGAGAGAGGAACGGAGAGAAGAGAAGTGTAGCAGGGGCGCTGTGGAAAGGGGAGAAGCAGTGGGCGGTGTGGGAAGTAGGCCGAAATAATTAGGCCAGTCACGAGAAACGTCATGGGATGGCATGGCATGGCATGGCATGGCGTGGCTGGATTACTCGGGTCAGTAGCCAAAACGGGGATTCAATCTCATGGAAAGTTCCGCCACGTGCGGACTGCAGCCTCGCAAGTATCAAGCTCACTGATTGGAAACCACCCGTACACAATCGCCATGCCATGTCCCGCCATGGCATTCCGTACCATGGAGATCCATGTTGATGCATGCAGTGCAATGACATGCTAGCAGCGCAATGACATGCTTACAGCGCAATGGCATGCTTACAGTGCAATGGCATGCTTACAGTGCAATGACATGCCCGTCGCCATCACAGCGCACAAGAGCCATGCTCTCACAATCTCTGCCTCTGCTCCATGTGCTCGTTCCGTTGACCTCACTCCATTCAGATGCCAAACTCTCCAACACTCCCACTGCCATTCACCCATGCCATGCACCCATGCCATGCACCCATGCCATGCACCCATGCCATGCCCATGCCGTTCACCCATGCCACAGAAGGGGATTAGGGAACGGAAGGAGGTATGAAAGGATGCAGTAAGAACAGAGAGAGGCAATCAGCCCACCACGCCACGCCACGCCAGGCGGCATGTCATGCCACAGGGTGGGCGAGAATGGGAGGTTCGCGGGTGGAGCAGACGGATAAGCAGGTTAGAGTTCCAAGCGATGGCACGAACATGGAAACGCGAATGGGACGAGGGTCCAGCACGGCTTACTTTCAGGGTGCAGCACGGCTTACGGTCAGGGTGCAGCACGGCTTACTGTCAGGGTGCAGCACGGCTTACTGTCAGGGTGCAGCACGGCTTACTGTCAGGGTGCAGCACGGCTTACTGTCAGGGTGCAGCACGGGGGCAGCCCGTGCGAGAGGCATGCAGCAGCGCGCCACAACCAGCGCCACCACTGCCGCCCTCACCACGTCCCACCGCCGCACTGCCCGCCTCATCGCCCGCGAGTTGGTTGCCCGGCGGCGGTACTAGTGGTGGACTAGCGGTGGACTAGCGGTGGACTAGCGGTGGACTAGCGGTGGACTGACTAGCGGTGGACTAGTGGTGGACTAGCGGTGGACTGACTAGCGGTGGACTAGCGGTGGACTTGCGGTCTTGCGTCTCGACCGGTCCTCGCGACCGCCGGCCTTGCGGTTCTCGGAGTGCCCCCTGGTGCTTCGGAGCGCGTCGGGGTATGCGCAGTCTGCGGGGCGGCGATCTTTTCGAGGGCGGACGTCAAGTCAAGAGACAAGCGATCTCTTGAAGAGATAAAAGGTCCTATCGCGCGGACTCAGTCCTAGTAGGCTAGTACTTGTACTGTGGATGTTGGCTAATGCGGAAGTCTAACGAGCTGGGCTCCGAATTCTCGTTGTCGCCCTGTGACTCGCTGCGTGCGGCGGCATTCTACGGCAAGCAATCGCCGAGCGACGCAATCCAATCGCTGATTAATCGCCCGGCTCGACCGATGCCACACTGCGGTCGCTGCGTGAAAGACGGACTCTATTCGAAATGCACGGTACGTGCGCGGAGGAAACGACGGATACCTTCGCAACCTCGCACATCCCTTCCCTGGTGGCCGTTGTGTAGTGCATGCATTCGACCGGACGGACGCGAGAACTAGTACCAGCAGCACCAGCTGGCCCCATTGCTGGCTCTCTTCTCTTCCCTTCCAGTTGCGCCACAGCCAGGTTGGACCGAAGTCGGCCGCAAGTGACCTGCTCTCCACACAGCCGCGTTTTCGAAACTTAAAACCAGCGTGCCAAGTAGTTCAATGGTAGGAAGGCTGGTTGGATAGGAGAACGGGATTGGTTGTCCAGTGGCTCTCCTAGGGAACGCTCAACCAGAGGTAGAAATCTCGAGGCAATTTTGGGACATTTGGTACGCGGGTTTTAGGCTCCTGGATGGTGGGCTTGTTCAGATCAACACTGAAGACGCTTATGGCTTTCACCGTACGTAACCGTTTTCAAAACCACATCACCAAAACGTATCTGTATGAGACCACTCGGAACCGCACTTCTTGTCGGCCAATGTTGAATCCAACTTTCCACCGAGAAACGGAAGACTGGGAAGACCTGGTGGTTGGTGAAAGCACACATTACGGTGAACTCGACATCTCCCTTGCCTAGTTGCAATACAAGCTTGCCAAAGTTGATTGATCTGCCATAAAAACCTTATCATAGTTTGAATCATGCAAGTTCTATTCTAGTGAAGCAAACGAGATGCCTCACCCTTTGGTGGTGGCGTAATTCCTGCCATCTTTTCCATGATCTCTCGTTGTGGGGTTTTCACGCAAACCTCGACCAGACCATTTGGGAACCCTTGCAAACATGCCCTCAGAAGTCAAGCAAAAAAAGCATGTTTTTCAGGTTTTGATTTTCATCAAACCTGAAATTTATGTCACAAAGCTAGGTTAGCTAAGAAGAAAGGAGGCCATGAAATTGGCACGAGTTTTAGCTAGGAGCTAGGCGAGAAGTTTGACGAGAGAAAAGAGGATCGACTAGAAGAGAAGGAGATACAAGAAGGGGGTTGTCCCCTCTACAGTAGGATGCAGTTAGTAGCACAACTACCAAGCCTACAATTATATATAATATATTTTAACACACCCCCTAGGCTTGGTAGTAGAAAGACCCAAACACCCCCGCACCCCCTAACCGAGCACCCACAACCCAGCACCCATGGCTACTCCAGCAGGGCCAACCTCGATGTCGAAGAGGCGGCAACGGCGACAGCGGCAGCGACGGCGGCGTGCAGCAGCAATAGGCCGGTGACAACAGCGGCGTCGGCGGCGGCTTCGACTTACGACTGCGGCAACGGCAACGGTCCCCGCCCTTTCGGCAGCGTGTCCACGCTCAGCGACAGGGGGACGACCAGCGGGAGGCGGTTGTGGGGAAGGGAGGGGACGAAGGGAAGGGGAAGGGGGCAGGGGCTTCAGATCTTCAGCGTGGCGCCATTACTGGCGCGGCGCTTACTGGCGTGCGGGCGGGCTGCGAGTCCAGCAACTGCAGCCCAACGTCGGCGACTGCAGCCCGACGACACCACAACGGCACCGATACGACGCCTCCACAGCGTGGCGCTGGAGCCGCGGCTGCTCGTCGGAGCTGTGACGGCAGCACCAAGAGGCCGCCGCGGCATCTCGGAAAAGATGTCGCGGCGGCAGGCAGTCGGAAAGCCGCAACGGCGGAGAAGTAACGACGAGTACGCAGCGGAAGTGTGGGGAGCAGGCCCAGGAAGGGCGGCCTGCTCTGAAACCATGTCACAAAGCTAGGTTAGCTAAGAAGAAAGGAGGCCATGAAAATGGCACGAGGTTTAGCTAGGAGCTAGGCAAGAAGTTTGACGAGAGAAAAGACGATCGACCAGAAGAGAAGGAGATACAAGAAGGGGGTTGTCCCCTCTACAGTAGGACGCAGTTAGTAGCACAACTATCAAGCCTACAATGATATAAAATATGATTTAACAATTTATGTGTTACCATTTTTCTATGCCTGAAAAATAGTGTGTACTTGTTTTAGCGAGCCTAACGAATCAGCCTTAGTCAAAATTCGCCCTGAAACATAACCCTATCCGCCAAGGCGAACTGGAGCAGGTGTGAGGGGCTTGTCTGATCCTTGACCAGAATCACGCAAGTTGTTCGAGGCGAGTTAGAGTAGGTGTGAGGGGTGTGACTGGTCCTTGACCAAAATCACGGAAGCAGTCCAAGGCGAGTTGGAGTACGTGTGAGGGGGGTGATTGGTCCAGGGCGATTTTTTCTAGGGTAGTTACCAAGATTTTTTTTATTTAAAAAATGTAAAGAGTTGGCGTTGGCCTGTTCCAGAATTTTTTTCGGTAGAGCTATCGGGCTTTCCAAAATTTATAGAAGTGGTGTAGCCGGGGGGTACGGACGGATTAGAATTCACAGGGAGAGCAATCCGGATGCACCCACCAGCAAGCACCCCATCCCCCCGCCCCCCTATCATAAATTCACCAGTCCTAACCACTGGGACAAAAAGGGATGTCCTCAGGAGAGTTAGGCTCCATATATCCACCTTTCCCTGGGAAAGCCTATAAACGTTAACGAATGACTAGAACCATGGCATACAAGAGAATATACAGTGACGGAAAAAATTGTCCGCATGTTCAGTCCTTTTTTGCATTTTGATGAGTGCAGCGGCGTAAACATTAAGCCTTAATTTATTGTGTGCATACACGTTGAGAAGATGATTTAGAGCACTCATTCAAGTCGACAAACACCAGAGTAGTATAATACATGGTCCTTAAACACCTAAGCATATCATAAGAGCACATCCGGACAATTTGTACCGAGGACAGGCAGCAAACTAGATTCTTGAAAAACTAGTACCTAGTCCAGCGTCCCTTTGCGCGAATCACTGCCTTGATCCTCCTCGGCATACTGTCGATGAGGTTTGAACACACCTCCGCCGGTATCTTGTCCCATTCCTCCTGCACCCTCTCCCACAGCTCCAACATTCCACTAGGTGGCTTTTCGTACGTCGCCAGCTGCCTTTTCAAGTGTGCCCACAGGTGCTCTATCGGGTTAAGGTCCGGGGAGGATGAGGGCCATTCCAGCACCGCGTACTCCTGCTCCCCAAGCCAGTCTTGGACCAGACAGGACATGTGCTTGGGATAATTGTCGTGCTGGAAAATGACCTCTAAGGGGGGGAGCTTGAAAAAACCGATGGTCTGTTTGAGCTCATCTTGCAAGATGTTGCGATACAGCGGCCCATCCATCCTGCCATCTATCTTGCACATGAACCCCGCCCCCTCATACGTCATGCAACCCACACCATCACAGAACCGCCCCCATGCTTAAGTGTCTGTTGGACTTGATGGCTCTGGAGGCTGGTGCCCTCGCGAATCCAGGCGTACGCACGTCTGTCGGAGCAGTAACGGTTTATCTTAGTCTCATCAGACCAAATCACCTGCTTCCAGTCCTCCAGCGTCCAGTCGGCATGCGACCTCGCGAAATCTAGACAATCACGTATGTTTTTTGGTGAGAGCCTGGGTTTCTTGGGCTGTTGAACGGCGATCAAGCCTGCGGATCGTAACGAGTTTCTGACCGTCTTTGAGTCTACAGCTAGACTGTGCTTCTCTTGCAACATCTTTGGGGCATCTACACTGCTTTTCGCCTCGCCGCTTGTAATCGCTCGAACTATTCCGCGCTGGAGTCGGGTTGAGATTAAGCGGGGGCGGTCGGCCGTGGGCATCGTGGGTCGCACCTCATCGTGACTAGTCTCGGCAATCACCTTCAAACCATAATCGTGCACGGTGCTCTTGCCTATGCCAAGAACTTTGGCTATTTTCCTAGTCGAATGCCCTTTGCGCAACATGCTTATGATTCGCGCACGCTTCTTGTCATCTACCGGCTTCATGGCGATGCGGTCGTAGGTTCGCTTCAGGACTAACTCCTAGACTAGCAGCTGTTGTGCGTGACGATGTGCACACCGAGTGACGGGCGAAAATAGATCTTGAACGTCGCTCGGTATGAAATGTCCGCATCGACAGCCGAGGAGTAAATCTCAACCCCGCTTTTCGGTTGTGTCACAATCGCGCCAGGCAAGAAACGGTTGAAGCAGAACTCGAAAACCTTGTAACAGGGTGGGAAAAAAATGGTGTTACTAATTTCGATACAAGTGTGGGATAGCGAAATGTTTCAAAGTGCTAAACATTCGGCCAATTTTTTCCACCACTGTAACCTAGTGGGTTGTACTCTCTAAGGCACAACCCTGTATAGTCTATAACAACATACAAGAATATGTTTGACACACCCCCTAGACTGGATAGGGACAGTGCGTGGTGAGAGACAAACAGCTCAAGGTGGCACTACTAGTCCAGCCTCAGAGGCGAGGGTCTAAAGACCAGTCAAACAAGTACAAACAAGGCAAGAGCAAGCCCACGACGGCACTACTTGTCCAGCCACTATGGAAAGGCCACAAAGCCAGGCAGGGTAATATAAATAAAGGTCGGTACCCAATCAATGTCCTACCAAATGAGAGGCTACAGGAACAAGACCTAACTGTGCACAGTGCCGCTGATGACCTTTAGGCGCAAGCGCCTTAGTAAAGTTATCAGCTGTGTTGGCAGCTGAGGCCAAGTGTACTACACGAGCCTGGCGACGCTGCTGCAGCTCGCGCAGGAGGAAGTACCGTAGCTGGATGTGCTTTACTCTACCCTCAAGTCGAGGCTCCTGACACAGGAGGATCACGTCCCTGTTGTCAGCGTACAGGACCGAGGAAGAACTAGGCCGCTCACCTAAGTTAGTGAGCAAGAAGGTCAGCCAGCGGAGCTCCTGTGCCGCCATGGCATCGGCGTAAATCTCAGCTTCACACCTAGACTGGGCAACAGACGAGGAGCAAGTGGACCTCCACGAGATGGCACCTGAACGAAGGCCAAAGCAGTAGCCCTGGGAGGACCTGAGGGTCTCAGCATCGTCAACCCAAGAAGCGTCTGTGTGCCCAGTAAGGACCACTGGCCTGCGTCCTCCTAGCACTAACCCCATGCCTGATGTACTTGCTAGATAACGCAAAACCCTCTTAGCGTCCGACCAGTGGTGTGGTCGGTGTCTACCTGACGCCACAAAGTGAACCAGGATGTTGAGAGGGTACGCGAGACCTGGTCGAGTGCAAGTCATCAGGTACATGAGACAACCCACCAGCTCTGTGTAAGGACCGCTAGTCTCTATTGACTCCTCAGGAACTGGAGCTGAGAGCCTATGATCTACTGGCAGAGGTATGGGCTGTGCAGAGGAGAACTGA